CCGGGAGGTGGAGGGCGGCAGTGGGCATGGCTGCTCGGAAGCTGGCGTGGGAGGTGTGGGAAGCGGTGGAGAGGGGTGCCAGGGGAGAGGGATGGGCCAGGGAGAGAGGTTTGGGGAGTAACGGAAAGAGAAGAGGGGATGGAGAAGGAGGACGATGGGAAGAGGAAAGGGGGAGAGCTGGGAAGAGAAGGAGAGTGGAAGGAGGGGATGGGGATGGGGTGGCTGGTGATGGGAATGGGATTAGTGGGAGGGAGGCAGAGGTGCGAATCAACATTCCTGACGGGGAGCCGCAGAAGCAGCAGGAGCAGCAGGGGGAGAGCCAGCAGCAGCAGCAGCAGCAGCAGCAGCAGCAGCAGCACGCACAGGGTGTGTGGCGGACAGAGGCAGAGCGGCGGCTGCTGGGAGGGTTGGCCTGGTGCGGGCTGTACCTGCTAAACCACCCCTCCCTCTCCAACCTCCGCAAATTCTCCTCCTCCCTTCCCCGCGCGCCCCGATTTGTGATTCAAGGGGAAGGGGGACGGGCAGGGGGCAGAAAGGAGGGAGCTAGGAGAGGGAAGAGGGAGGAGGGAAGAAGGCAGAGGAAAGAGGTCGGAAAGGGGGAGAGGGGTGTGAGGAGGAGGGAGGGGAGGAGGGAGGGGAGAAGGGATGGGAGGAGGGAGGGGAGGATTGCCAATTGGGCCAAGGAAGAACGGCCTACCAGAATGAGTAGCAGACTGAGAGAGAGGGAGAGGGAGAGGAGGAGAATTGAGAGGGAGCGGAGGAGAGAGGAAAGGGAGAGGAGGTCCGGGGAGTGGGAGCGGAGGAGGGGGAGGGTGAAGAGGCGAAGGGAGAGCGATGGAGGGAGCGGTGCGAGAAGGAGGAAGAGTGGGTGTGTACACGTTCCTGAGGGTAACACGTGTGTGTATCCCACTTGCTGGATGCAAGGGACAGGGTCGGAGGGTGGGTTTTACAGTCCTAGAAGCGGCGGTTTTCCAAGCGCTGGTTTTCCAAGCGCTGGTTTTCCTGTGCCGAGCAGTATGGTTGGTGGTCGTCACGCGTTAAGTGGTCCAAGGAAAGGAGGAGAGGGAGGAGGAACGAGAGGGGGCGAGGGGGGGAGAAGAAGCGGAGGGGAAGGGGGAAGAGGGGGCGAGGTCCGAGGGCTGGCAGCAGTGGGCATGAGGCTGGTGCATGGGGGGGTGCAAAGTCCGGGGGAGATGCAGCAGCAGGTGCAGAGGGTGTGTGATCATGTTCTAGAGGCTGTGAGGCGCGATGTTGCCAGAGCGGCACGCTGGAGGAGCGTGGCTTTCGACGTCATTCCAAACACTCCTGGGTCCCGCAGGCACTGTCAAACCCACATCCGTTATCAGACCCCCCAGCACTGGCGGTGGGGAGCGGATCATGTGTGGGCGGTGCAGCGGGCGTGGCGCATGGAGCAGCAAGTGCGAGCACTGGAAGATACAGTGGCATCATGGGTGCACCTCATGGCTCCCCTGCACACTGCTGCGGCTGCCTCCACTGCCCACCTGCCCCCTCCTCCTCCTCATCCCCTTCCCTTCCTCCTGCGTGCAGGTGAGCCTCGTGTGTCGCACCGGCCCCCTGCAACGTCAGAGAAATCGCACGCCCGCCGATTCTCGTGCTCCTACCGGCTCCGCCAGGAGTGGCAGCATAAGCATCACACACACCCTCCTGCGCCTGCTGCTGCTGCTGCTGCCGCGGCTGCTGCTGCGGCAGCCGATCGAGCCTCTGCTTTCTCCTCACCCTTCCTCGCCTTCCCATCCCCCTCTGTACCTAACCTCCTTCCCAACGCCTCAACCCCTTCCGGCATGCCTCCTTCAGCCGTCTCCAGTCCAGCTCTCCTGCTCCCTCCCGTATCCACGCCTGGCAATTACCCCCTCATTCTCGCTCTCCCCGCGCCGTTCCCGCTGCCGTTCCCTCCCTCCTCAGCCTCTCTCTCTCCCCCACTCGTCTCCACGCCCCAACCCTTTTCCACCACACCTCCGTCCTTCTCTGAACCGGCACCCCTCTCCACACCCCACGTGGAGGTCTATCGCCCTGCTCCCGCTGCAACTCCACCATTCTCCTTCAACCCCCCTGTTCTCGCTGCTCCAAGTGCTGCTGCTGCTGCTGCTGTTGCTGCTGCTGCTGCGGCTGCTGCTCCTGCTGTCTCTGCTGCTGCCCCTGCTCCTGATTCTATTGGTCTTGCTGCTGCCACATTTTCTGGGGCTGTTCCTGCTTCTCCTCCTGCTCCTCCTTCTCCTACTCCTCCTCCTCCTCCTGCGGCTGCTGCAGCAGCCAGGTTGTCTCCTGCAGCCCCTCTGGTGACGGGCCTTGATGTGCTGAGACGCCCTGGACTTGTGTGGGGGGGGAGAGAACGGGGTGAGGGAGTAGCAGATGGGCTTGGTGGGAGTAGGGGGAAAGGGAGAGAAGGGAGAGAAGGGAGAGAAGGGAGAGAAGGGAGAGAAGGGAGAGAAGGGAGAGAAGGGAGAGAAGGGAGAGAAGGGAGAGAAGGGAGAGAAGGGAGAGAAGGGAGAGAGGGTAAAGAAGAGGGAGAAGACAGGAGCTGTCGAACGGAGAATCGGGCAGTGAATGCAGCAGCAGGATCTGGTTCTGCCGCCACTCATGGCCTCGAGGAGTTTGGTTTCGAGGTGCTTCAAAAGGAGGAGGGGAAAGGCGATGCAGGTGCAGCGGGCAGCGGTGCTGAGAGGGAAGGTGATGCAGAGAGAGGGAGCAGGGACGATGAGGATGGGGATGGAAATGAGGGGATGAGACTGGGGATGTGGAAACGGATGGAGACAGGACAGGCACAGGCAATGAAGGACCATCTGGGCATGCAGATACAGAGGAGGACAGCCATGCAGAGGGAGAGGAGAGGGAGCAGGAGGCAGAGAAGGAGGAGGATGAAAAGGCGGACGAGAATGAGAATTGGGATGGGGATGGGGACAGGACTGGTTCGGGCAATGAAGGGCGATGTGGGCGTGCAGGTGCAGGGGAGGGTAGCCATGAGGAGGGGCAGGAGAGGGAGCAGGAGGGTAAGGACGAGGAGGATGAAGAGGGGGATGAGGAGCCACTCGAAGCAGGCCAGCGGCATGCCAAGGAGGAGGAGGAGGGGAATGAGGATGCAGAGGGAATGAGGGAGCAGGAGGGGGGGGTAGCTGGAGTATCAGAGCAAGAGACAAGGGGCGAAGGGGATGGCGAGACGGTGGGTAAAGGCATTGGTGAGCGGATCCCTCCCCACCGCAGTGCGGATGGCATGGGTGCTGTCACTCACACACCTCTCAACCACAAGGCACGGTCCAGCACCGCTCTGTCCCGCAGCCCCGTCCGCTCCCCACCAGCGTGCTTCCACTCGCTGCTCACTGCTCTCGAGCTCTGCCTCTCCCACCTGCTGCTGCTGCAGCCCACTCCCCTTACTCATGGCTCCCAGCTGCTGCTGCTGCAGCAGCAGCAGCACCACGACCACCATGATCACCACCCTCTGTACAGTCACACAGTCACCCACGCATGCAGCCACGCGGTCACAGCTGCTGACACGCCCACCTGCTCGTGCAGTCGCTGTCGGTTCCTTCTGTCCCTCCTGTCCACATCACCTGGCAGCGCAGCCGCACCAATCACGTGCGGACAGCTGGAGCGGGTGGTGCGCCAGCTGGCGAGCATCGCCACCGCTGCTGTGCGGCGAGCACGGTGCAGCCAAGCCCCTCTTGCTGCCGCTGATGGTGGTGCCGCTGATGTTGCTGCCGCTGATGGTGCTGTCGCTGATGGTGGTCCCGCTGATGGTGGTGCCGCTGCTAGCGGCGGTGATGGTGGTGGTGGTGGTGGCGGTACTGCTGTTGCTTGCGCCCGCTCCGCTGGTGCTACTGGTCCTGCCGCTGCTCCATGTGCCCGCACAGGGACTGGTGGGATATGCCTCTGTGGAGGTGGCGGGCTATGCCTGATGCGCATAGCACATGCCATACAGCAGCGCATGTTGCTGACGTCAGGATCACAGGATGCTGCAAAAACTCAGGAACCCTGAAGCAGAAATCTGTGGATGGATGTGAAGATGGTACCGTATTGTGCTCGTGTTGTTCATATTCCTGATCCTTTGTGTATATGCTGTCCAGGCTGTGTACATGCTGCTAATATCTTTACCCCAATTTCCACAAGCTCCAAGAAGGGAAAATCACAGCGATACAGAACCGATAACGTTCAAGCAGAAACGAATCATGCTTTACCGGGATGTCAGGCTGGAGCGATGCTTCTGGTGGTGTTTGCGCTTCGACGAATTCCCGCCTTCGTCACAAGAGTTCATTGGCCACGTCATCAGTCTTGCCGCTTCCCACTTGCCAGCGGGCATCTGACGTCCAGCTGGGCCTTCCTCTGTTAGCCGGCGTCAGTGTCTCTGTTTGCCCAATCATGGCAGCGGCTCGACGCGGATGTCTGGGGAAAATCTGTTTGATGCGACGCCGCACGAGGTTTGGCGAAGCAGAGTGCGGCTGTGCCACAGACCGTGGATTATGGGATGTTGGATTTCGCCTGGATTTGTTTGCTGGTTACATCTCCTCGTGAGTCGTAGTTACCATATTCTCGAAGCTCGCAAGCCCAAACTCACTGAACATTCCTTGTCCCCACCATGTCCCTTTCAGATGATTTTGGTTTGAAGTGTTTGTTACGGTTTGATTCGGTTTGAGTATTAAACCGTCTTGTAACGTGTAGCAACGCATTGTAACGCACTAGACCAGCGGGCATGAGCGCGTCATTTCCATTTCTTCTTCCTCATTTCCAACAGCTGCTAGCTTGACAATCCGGACTACGCAGCAAGGCAAGGCAGGAGCTTTACCTCTACCGAGCAGTTCGGAGAAACGTTTTGGAGGTTCTTACAATCTTCCTAGCGTAAGCTATAAGCATAAGCTAGCTGTGTATGACACCAGCGCGCCGCTCTTTACGTCTGTGTGGAACTGGGTTTAACCGACTTGGGAAAGGCAGTAGGCAAAACGGAGGTAGTCGCAGGTAGACAATCATTCTCGCTCCTCAACTACAATAACATGACGTGCCGCACGATCAGTTTAGACCGTTGTTACTTCAGCACATTTCTCTTTCTTCTCCTCCTCCTCAACACTTCCTATGCGCAACTCGAATCGCAAGATCCCTTCACGTCGCTACCCAACGACACAGGCGAGCTGGTTCAAGGCAGCGCGCCGTCTATGTCCGCCTCGGATTTCCTCGCCGCCGCGAATCAGATCACGACGGATAAAATCCAGTCGATCCGCATGCGAATCTACCAGCAATTTGTCCAGAATCTCGCCATGAAAGGCGCGAGCACGGCCGCGCTAGGCGAAATCGTCGACCTGCCGCAACCGCCATTCACCAACATGACTCTCCAGCTCGTGAAGCTCAAGCTCTCTTCGCTCGTCGCCAACGGGTTTCTTTTCCACGAGTTTTTCATTCCGCCGGGAATCCAGGTCTCTACGAACCCAGAGCTCGTCGTTTTGTTGTATAACCAGATTCCTGTCACCTTCGCGCCGTACAGACCGCCGACTGGTTACTCCTATTCGCCGTATTTCGCCGGGGTTGACATCCTTCCGTTCGTTAACGACACGACGAAGGCTCCGGGCCCGCTGCTTGTGCGAACGAGCCCGTCGTTACCAATTACTGTTACATTTCCGTACGACGACTCTCAGCCTGGATACGTTCAGTGCACTACTTTCGGCCTGCTCGGCGCGCTTATCCCTCTCAACCAATCACAGGACAGCACGCCCACGCGGGTTATATGCGAGAGCGTCACCCTTGGAGAATTTACCCTCACGATCGGCTCCAACCCATTCCCTTCTCCGCCGCCCCCCCCGCCGTCCCCTCCGCCCCCCCCGTCCCCGCCAACTCCGCCAACCCCCACTCCGCCTTCTCCGCCCGTAAGCACCCCCGCCGACAAGGGCGGATCAAGCGGGCTGACGATTGGGCTAGCGATCGGGCTCGCGATTCCGATTATCCTCCTGCTCGTGCTGGGCGCGTGGCTGATCTGGCAGCTGCTGCAGCGCGGGCGCTACGAGAAGATGGAGCTGGCGGCGGAGCGCGCCGCGAACCTCGAGACTGCGCTCATCGCGGGGCAGCGCGCGCCGTCCGCGCCCGCCGTGCGCACCAGGGGGGCGCTGGAGGACGAGGCGTGAGCGCGGGGGAAGGGCACGGGGAGGGGAAGCGGCAATGCGCCAACGTGGAGGAGGGAGGGCGAGGAAAGGTAGAGGGGAGGACGGGGGGAGTGGGGGGGTGCGGGGGGGAAGGGAAAGAGGAAGAGGAGAGGATGGTCCGAGTGTAGGAGGCAGGGGATGGGCCCGCGCCGTGTAGTTTGCTTCCATCTGCGCCATTTGTGTTGGCGGTATGAACTGGAGGGTTGTCGGCTATGGGCATGATTTAGAGGGACGGAGAGGAAAGGGAATGCGCTAAGGGGGGGTGGAGGTGATAAACGGAATTTCGGGAGTAGGGGTGTCTTTGAATGGTGGAGGTTGGGGGAAGGGGATGGGGTTGGCTGGGGGGAACAAGAGTGTGTGGGAAACAAGGGTGCATGTGATTGTTAAGGGGGAAGGGTTGACTGGGTGTGGGTTTGTGCTTGTCATGTGTAATGGTGTGTGTGTGTGTGTGTGTGTGTGTGTGTGTGTGTGTGTGTGTGTGTGTGTGTGTGCATTGGGATCAGGAAAGTAAATGAGGGAGGATATGCTGCTGGGTGCATACAGCATGACAGATAGCTGATGGCTCAATCAGTGTCCTGGCATTACAGGCCGTAGGCTTCCTATTTCAGGGCCAGGACCCAGGTATTTGTTAGACCTACACGTGTATCCAAGGGTTGTGCCTCACACAGACGTTTCAGTATGCCAAAAAATGTGTGATGTCATCATTCAACCAGCATGTGCACAGCAGCACAGCACGGCCAAGACTGGAGACCACATTCCAAGAACATCACCAACTCTGTCTGATGAGATTGCATGCCGCAGGCACTGCCTGTGTCTGAGGCATTCAGAGGATTATATAAACAGGCATCACGCACTCACACAAAAAGGGAGCAGATCTTGCATACGGTAATATTACAATTGATCAGTTGTACAAGAAGGCATTTCCAGCTGCAGTGCACATTTTCAGGATTTGGCATATGCAAGCACTCCAGAATAGAGACTTCTGTTAACAAACGTCCACCTCATCAGCAGATACCATTTGCCTACGTCAACTAACAACAATAGAAGAACAAACAAAACTCCAAGGTCATTGGCCTAGTTGATAGGAACATCTACAACAGCCGGCTTCTTCGGCTCAGGTGGCTTGACCTTCGGAACAGTCACGGTAAGCACACCATTCTCCGAGCTCGCAGCGATCTTATCCACCTCCACGTTATCAGGAAGACGGAATCGCCTCAGGAACTTGCCAGTGCTCCGCTCCACGCGGTGATATTTCTCCGTCTTTTCCGTGACTTCGCGACTCCGCTCGCCGCTGATGGTGAGCAGATTCTTATCTTGGATTTGGACCTTCACCTCGTCTTTCTTCAGCCCCGGGAGATCCGCGATGAATTTGAAAGCCTCGGGAGTCTCTTTAACGTCCACGGCTGTACACGCCATCGCGCTGCTGTCTTTCACGAAGTTCGACGTCGGCGCGTCGAAAAGAGCGCTGAACTCGTCTGGGATGTGTGACAAACGGAGGAGGGAGTTTAGGGTCGGATCGGTACTGAACACTGTGAGCGCCATGGCGTACTCGTGCTGTGAACTGGAGGAAATACTCGAACTTGCAAGCGACGGAAGTCTGAGAAGCTGTGAAAATGCTGTTAAGAACGTATGCGAAGTAGCTTGTGAGAGCTGTGCTTGAAGAGCGCTGTTGATGTTTTGACGACACTCGAGTGGAAATCCGCCAGCTTTATAGAAACAACTGCTAGCCCGAAAACATAAGGCGGTTCGCTCGAAACGTAAGGAAGACTAGAAATTTGATAGGCCATGGCCCTGGAATGCACGGGATGCGTCCGGAGCATAGCTCGCTCTGGTAAACGACCCTTGCCCAAAGCACAGTCATGAAGTTTCTAGGAGCGGCTGGAGGAGACTGAAGGAACTTGCCTTGCCCGAATTTGGAAATATCTCGGCGGAGGACCTCGAAGATGTCTGCCCAAGTGTTTTGGGCGCTGGGCGGGATCAGCGTACGCGATAAGCGCTTCCTAATACAATGTTCTAGAACATGCATTGGTAACTACTTCATAATCCGCTGACTAGCTCAGACTGCTGCAAACACATCGAAGACACCAACAATACAGTTATTGTGCAGCAAAACCAAACCACTTTACATTGAAATAACAGTGTACAAAATTTGATCAAGAACCAAAACACACATAAATAACCAAACCATACATAAATTCTAGGAGCAATTATGAAACATCCCATTTAGTGGAGACTACAGCTAGGAAACTGCAGCTAGGAAACTGCAGCTAGGAAACTGCAGCTAGGAAACTGCAGCTAGGAAACTGCAGCTAGGAAACTGCAGCTAGGAAACTGCAGCTAGGAAACTGCAGCTAGGAAACTGCAGCTAGGAAACTGCAGCTAGGAAACTGCAGCTAGGAAACTGCAGCTAGGAAACTGCAGCTAGGAAACTGCAGCTAGGAAACTGCAGCTAGGAAACTGCAGCTAGGAAACTGCAGCTAGGAAACTGCAGCTAGGAAACTGCAGCTAGGAAACTGCAGCTAGGAAACTGCAGCTAGGAAACTGCAGCTAGGAAACTGCAGCTAGGAAACTGCAGCTAGGAAACTGCAGCTAGGAAACTGCAGCTAGGAAACTGCAGCTAGGAAACTGCAGCTAGGAAACTGCAGCTAGGAAACTGCAGCTAGGAAACTGCAGCTTTGAAACTGAAGCTAGGCAACTGCAGCTAGTAAACTGCAGCTTGGAAACTGCAGCTAGGAAACTGCAGCTTGAAAACTGCACCTAGGAAACTGCAGCCAGGAAACTGCAGATAGGAAACTGCAGCTTGGAAACTGCAGCATGGAAACTGCAGCTTGGAAACTGCAGCTTGGAAAATGCAGCTAGGAAACTGCAGCTTTGAAACTGCTGCTAGGATACTGCAGCTAGGAAACTGCAGCTTGGAAACTGCAGCAGCTTGGAAACTGCAGCTTCGAAACTGCAGCTAGGGAACTGCAGCTAGGAAACTGCAGCTAGGAAACTGCAGCTAGGAAACTGCAGCTAGGAAACTGCAGCTAGGAAACTGCAGCTAGGAAACTGCAGCTAGGAAACTGCAGCTAGGAAACTGCAGCTAGGAAACTGCAGCATGGAAACTGCAGCTTGGAAACTGCAGCTTGGAAACAGCAGCTAAGAAACTGCAGCTAGAAAACTGCAGCTTGGAAACTGCAGCTAGGAAACTGCAGCTAGGAAACTGCAGCTAGGAAACTGCAGCTAGGAAACTGCAGCTAGAAAAGAGCAGCTTGGGAACTGCACTAGGAAACTGCAGCTTGGAAACTGCACCTAGGAAACTTCAGCTAGGAAACTGCGGCTAGGATACTGCAGCCAGGAAACTGCAGCTTGGAAACTGCAGCTTCGAAACTGCAGCTAGAGAATTGCAGCTAGGAAACTGCAGCTTGGAAACTGCAGCTAGGAAACTGCAGCTAGGAAACTGCGGCTTGGAAACTGCACCTAGGAAACTGCAGCTAGGAAACTGCAGCTAGGCTTCAGCTTGGAAACTGCAGCATGGAAACTGCAGCTAAGAAACTGCAGCTAGGAAACTGCAGCTAGGAAACTGCAGCTAGGAAACTGCAGCTAGGAAACTGCAGCTAGGAAACTGCAGCTAGGAAACTGCAGCTAGGAAACTGCAGCATGGAAACTGCAGCTTGGAAACTGCAGCTTGGAAACAGCAGCTAAGAAACTGCAGCTAGAAAACTGCAGCTTGGAAACTGCAGCTAGGAAACTGCAGCTAGGAAACTGCAGCTAGGAAACTGCAGCTAGGAAACTGCAGCTAGAAAAGAGCAGCTTGGGAACTGCACTAGGAAACTGCAGCTTGGAAACTGCACCTAGGAAACTTCAGCTAGGAAACTGCGGCTAGGATACTGCAGCCAGGAAACTGCAGCTTGGAAACTGCAGCTTCGAAACTGCAGCTAGAGAATTGCAGCTAGGAAGCTGCAGCTTGGAAACTGCAGCTAGGAAACTGCAGCTAGGAAACTGCGGCTTGGAAACTGCACCTAGGAAACTGCAGCTAGGAAACTGCAGCTAGGCTTCAGCTTGGAAACTGCAGCATGGAAACTGCAGCTAAGAAACTGCAGCTAGAAAACTGCAGCTTGGAAACTGCAGCTAGGATATTGCAGCTAGGAAACTGCAGCTAAGAAGCTGCAGCTTGGAAACTGCAGCTTTGAAACCGCAGCTAGGAAACTGCAGCTAGGAAACCGCAGCTTGAAATCTGCAGCTAGGAATCTGCAGCTAGGAAACTGCAGCTAGGAAACTGCAGCTAGGAAACTGCAGCTAGGAAACTTTAGCTAGGAAACAGCAGCTTGGAAACTTCAGCTTGGAAACTGCAGCTATAAAACTGCAGCTTGGAAACTGCAGCTAGGAAACTGCAGCTAGGAAACTGCAGCTAGGAAACTGCAGCTAGGAAACTGCAGCTAGGAAACTGCAGCTAGGAAACTGCAGCTAGGAAACTGCAAATAGGAAACTGCAGCTTAGAAACTGTAGCTTGGAAACTGCAGCTAGGAATCTGCAGCTTGGAAACTGTAGCTAGGAAACTGCAGCTAGGAAACTGCAGCTAGGAAACTGCAGCTAGGAAACTGCAGCTAGGAAACTGCATCTAGAAAACTGCAGCTTGGAAACTGCGGCAGCTTGGAAACTGCAGCTTCGAAACTGCAGCTAGGGAACTGCAGCTAGGAAACTGCAGCTAAGGAACTGCAGCTAGGAAACTGCAGCTAGGAAACTGCAGCTAGGAAACTGCAGCTTGGAATCTGCAGCTAGGAAATTGCAGCGAGGAAACTGCAGCTAGGAAACTGCAGCTAGGAAACTGCAGCTTGGAAACCGCAGCTATGAAACTGCAGCTAGGAAACTGCAGCTAGGAAACTGCAGCTAGGAAACTGCAGCTAGGAAACTGCAGCTAGGAAACTGCAGCTAGGAAACTGCAGCTAGGAAACTGCAGCTTGGAAAATGTAGCCCGGAAACTGCAGCTAGGAAACTGCAGCTTAGAAACTGTAGCTTGGAAACTGCAGCTAGGAATCTGCAGCTTGGAAACTGCAGCTAGGAAACTGCTGCTATGAAACTGCAGCTAGGAAACTGCAGCTAGGAAACTGCAGCTAGGAAACTGCAGCTAGGAAACTGCAGCTAGGAAACTGCAGCAGAGCCTTTTTTGCTTGGTTCTTGTGCAAAGAAAAGTTCGGCGCCTATGATTTTTGCGGATTTTACCGACGAATGCTCATGAATCTCTATAGGCGTAGGGAATAGCATTCAACAACCTCAATGTTATTGCAAATTTGAGTGGCTCATGTTCAAATACACCTACTAGAGCCTTACTGGCTTGGTTCTTGTGCAAAGAAAAGTTCGGCGCCTATGATTTCGGCTATTTTCACCGACAAATGATCATCAATCCCCATAGGCGTAGGGAAAAGCATTCAACAACCTGAATGTTATTGCATATTCGAGTGGTCCGTATTCAAATACACCTTTTAGAGCCTTTTTGACTTGCTTCTTACGTAAAAAAAAAATAATAATAAAGTTCGACGCCTAAGATTTCGACTGTTTTTATCGACAAATGATCATCAATCCCTATAGGCGTAGGGAATGGCATTCAATAACCTGAATGTTATTGAAAATTTGTGTGGCTCATGTTCAAATACACCTACTAGAGCCTTTTTGGCTTGGTTCTTGTGCAAAGAAAAAGTTCGCGCCTATAATTTCGACAATTTTTCATGACAAATGCTCATAAATTCCTTAAGGCGTAGGGAAAAACATTCAACAACCTGAATGTTATTGCATATTCGAGTGGCCCATATTCAAATACACCTACTAGAGCCTTTTTGGCCTGGTTCTTGCGCAAAGATTAGTTTGACGCTTATAGTTTCGACTGTGTTTTCCGACAAATGCTCTTGAATCCCTATAGGCTTAGGAAAAAGCATTCAACAACCTGAATGTTATTGCATATTCGAGTGGCTCGTATTCAAATACACCTATTAGAGTCTTTTCGGCTTGGTCTTGTGCAAAGAAAAGTCGGAGCCAATGATTTTGGCTGATTTTACCAACAAATGCTCATGAATCTATGTAGGTGTAGGGAATAGCATTCAACAACCTGAATATTATTACAAATCCGAGTGGCTCATATTCAAATACACATACTAAGAAAGAAAAGAAAAGAAAAGAAAAGAAAAGAAAAGAAAAGAAAAGAAAAGAAAAGAAAAGAAAAGAAAAGAAAAGAAAAGAAAAGAATAAAATAAAAGAAAGGTAAAGAAAAGAAAAGAAAAGAAAAGAAAAGTTTGGCGCCTATGATTTCGGCTGATTTTACCGACAAATGCTAATGAATCCTTATAGGCGTATGGACTAGCATTTAACAACCTGAATAGTATTGCAAATTCGAGTGGATTTTGTTCAAACACATCTACTAGAGCCTTTTTGGTTTGGTTCTTGTGCAAAGAAAAGTTCGGCGCCTATGATTTCGGCTGTTTTTCCCGACAAAAGCTCATGAATCTCTATAGGCGTATGGAAATCATTCAACAACCTGAATTTTATTGCATATTCGAATGGCCCATGTT